GTATGCACTTATAACAAAGCTATTTTACTTATATATGCTTACTGAAATATGTACTCTCTAGCCTTACACATTTGTGTACACACATATCCACATTAGGGTGGTCCAAACAAAGTAAAGTGAGAATTTGTGTGCTCTCACCACCTAGGATTGTTCTATATTGAAAAATATACAATTTTTTTTTTTAAACAAAGAAAGAATGTCGTTCAAAGCATTCAAATTTCTCCATGTCGTTTATATGGGGAAAAAACTAATTTCGTAGAACTGGTATAAAATGCTTGAAGATCAATATTTTGTCATCGGCAAACTTTGTTTCTCTTCAGGAGCATTTCTTCAAAATTAGTTTTTCCCCATATAAAAGACATGGTAAACTTTGCGCACTTTGACCGAGGTCTAAAACTTTTTTATTTAAAAAATAAGGGACGTGCAATAATGTCAGTGGAGTTAATGTCACTGACATTAATACACAATGGAAAAGTGAATTAATGTCACTGATATTAAATGAAATAATGTCAATTGACATTAAGGCACTTTGGAATTGATTCACCCTCTAAAAGTGAAGGGTGTAATGTTATAAAAATAAATTTTGATATTTATACTTAAATTTACAAAATGAAAGTGTTTTAATTTCAACGAAAACATCACTAACCATTCAAACCTACACCTAAAAACAAAGACGTTAATATGCCTTTTAATAGCAACAATAAAAGCATTCATTAATTTGCACGTCACCAAAAAATAATAGTGGTATACTTTTTCCTGGGAGGTAAAAGCACTAAAATTCCGACTTTACTTTTGCGCCGCCCTAATGTACATTGCTTACATATACAATTATCATTTATTATTATTTCTTTTTGCAGAGTTGAGCAAAAATCTGGCACCGCGCACCACTCAGAAACCGGTAATGGAAATACATGTGGAGCGTGGTAATGATGTCCATTTGCCATGCAACATCCAGGGGAATCCCTTTCCCATCTTTACGTAAGTTTCTTATTATTTTTTTGGGCCACCGGCGATACATAGATAAACACACAAAAACATGAACGTGTGCTCGCATTGTAAGTACAACTTTTAAAGGTTGTTTCACTTTAATCGCTACTAGCCTTCGAATTATAAAGAAACTACAATATTAGCCAAACGAAAATAATTCTTCAGCTATGTTTAAAAAAATAGTAGCATTCACCCATAGTGCTGTTTGTTGAAACAGCGGCAGGGGTCATTAAAATGGATGGAAAAAATTTCAGTGTACATTTATCCCATATGATCTCCAGATTACATATCTTCGAACCCCGAAATCGTACCTGATCCTATTTTCAAGACATATATATACATACATATGTATGTATGTATGTGTATGAGTATGTACAATGCGAAACTTTAGGTACATACATTCGAACCAATTTTAGCGTAACCCAGGAACAACGACGGGGACGTAGTGGTAGCTTGGAACTTTTAATCCTTTTTTTAATTTTCTGTTTTCTTAATTTTTTTTTTTTTATATATTAAAAATTTGTTTTTTGTTAAAGTTTAAGTTATAAAAGTGGAAACAAAATTTCGTTAGAATCCGACAATTTGAAGAAATTCTTTAACGTGGGTTTTTACCAGAGACGCCTTCATTAGAATTTAAAGCTTTATTTAGCTCATTCAAATAGATATCTAGTTTTGGCCCTACTTTTCCAGATGTGATTAACTTCTCCCTATTTACGGAAAGTGATGACACTACCGTTTTCGAAAAATGTATAATTCCTCAATTACATGTGCTTGGGTGTGTGTTTTGGGGACTATGTTTTTTTTTTTTAAGGTTTAGTACCCTTTTTTGGAAAGAATTAAGCTTTGATATGGCCATCGAAATTGAGAATCATTTCCAAAAACTACAATGGAGATTGTTTCGAAGGCAATGCATGTAGAAAATTATTTAACGAATCTCATAATAGTTAAAATAAGACCAAACCTGACATTTTCAAAGATTTTTTTTTTTTTTGTACTACTGTTACTGGTTTTATTATAATTTTTGGTCATGACTTCATACCAACTGTATGAAAACTATGTAAATTAAAACCGCTTTATCTGGATTTTTTTAATTTCAAAATCGGGAACCAGTTTTTTTTTCAAATTGTAATTTTTCGAATAACTCGAAAACCGGTTTCGGAAAAAGGCGAATAAATTAACACCCTAATAAACAAGTAAGAGATATTATTAATATATAAAATAAAAATACAAAATACACCGTTATATAGGAAGTGGGCGTGGTTATATTCCGATTTCGCCCATTTACAATACCAACCTACATTGGATAAAGGGAAACTTACATACCGAATTTGGTTGAGATATCTCAAATTTTGCTCGATGTATCGTGTTCGCGGATGGACGGACAGACGGACGGACAGGCAGACAGGCTTAATCTACTTCCCTATTCATTTTGAGCATCTATCTCGATTCGTTTTGGTTGTTACAATCAACCGTTATGTGAGCAAAGTTAATATACCCTTGTGCACAAGTACGCTCGGGTATAAAAAGTCAAAATAACAACTACGCAGTCAGCTTACACGTTCACTCGCGCGCCTTTATTTAAATGTCATATAATTTAAAAGTACATAATTAAAAGGTATTTTAGTTTCTCCAATAATAGTCATCTTTGACTCAATGTAATTTCTTTTATTTGGTGGCACACTAGTTTTATTAAACTAGATTCGTTCTTTTGGCAAGAAGAACATTTTTACCGTTATTAAAATTAAAAAAAAAATCTTAAAATTTCAAAAATAAATTTTTTTTTCTAATTTAATGGCACACTCTTGAAACTTCACAGATATACTGTATTTGGTGCCAATGTCCATTGCCTCTAATATGAACATTTTATTTGAAAACTTCCCAAAGTTATTAAAAAACCCATTATGATTTTTTCGAGTAACAATGAAAAAATTAATAATTTCGGTACTTTTTTCGCTAAATAAACATTTGAAGGCTATAATTGTTCAAAGACTTGATTTATTTTTTATTGTGCTCATTTCTGGAACTCCACTGATTGCAATAAATGCAAAAAGAATGCTTTAGCCTTTTGTGTGTTTTTCGCCAAGAGAATGGTGTGACACTAAAAAAAAAGTAACTCGTGACATGCGCTCATATATGGCGGGCGAGGCTTAAAATATTTGATGCATTATTTTGCGATGAAAGATTTTACGACATTCGGACATTACGATGTTTAAAACGCCTTGTGAATCCCCTAGATTTTGACCAACCCAAATAAAGCAAGAATTTTTATAGTAGCAACTAAAAATTTAAGCATCTGACAGAAACGCCCATTGTACTAACATTAGCTTTTACTATGATTATTGTTTTTACAGTACGCATTAATTAGATTTTATTTCCTTAATGGCGTACCAAATGTGAATTTCGTATATAAATTACTCCCTTATGTGTCTACTTAGTTAGATATACACACACGTATGTATGTATACATAACTACTTATGCGCATAGTGTCTCTATACCTTATTACCTAAGTCGAGCTGCCCGTTGGAGAGTAATGTAATACGAGTAAGTATATTCACCACTACGAAAGTGCCATTCGTACAGCAGCAATGTAGTCCATAAACTTTTACTTCACTCCGCCACCAAATCATAACAAGGGAGTACGGCCTATTCATAAGCTCAGCGATCACGCACAAGTCATGAATGAGGCTACTAAAATTTACTTACACAGTAAACAGTATATGCCACCAGCTAAACGTTAATACTGATGACCTCTTTGCGCTTGCAGTTTGTTTCGTAGTTATGCGTTTCCATATTTAGGTCGACAGAACTGTTGGGCCGTTATGCTTTCCGTTTATTTAGTTTTTTTTTGTTTTTGCATGGCCATCTTGCGGATTGTCCTTGTGTTAATTATAGCAGTCCTTTACATCTGCTTTGAGACCATTTTGGGCGGTACAGATTGCTTGCATCATAAAGATGGACAGCCAGCAGCGTATTACGTTTATTGCCAAGTGGCAGTCTAGCTTGAATATTGTCACAAATTTGTTTGCTAAAGAGGAAAAAATAAATAAATATACCAAAAAAAAAAAACAATTCCAAGTGTTATAAGATTTGCATTTATCAACGAAGAAGGCAGCAAAATTAAATTTCTACTTTTATGCAAGCATAGCCAAAAATAAATAAATTTAGCAAAAACATTTTGTTCGCAACATTGAAAAAACTAATGAATGCCGAGCAAACAAAAAGATAATCAATTTTGTAAAGCGACAAATTCACTACTCACTTCTAATGCACTCGATTTTCGTACGAATTCGTGCTTAACGTACCTTCGCTTATTCTTCTACTTTTGCTTAGTTACGTGTGACAGGCAACATATTTTGAAATCAATAAATGCTGCTTAAGCATAATCCGCAACAGATTTGCAGCATGCCGAGATATATGCCAGCGTAGCAAAAGCATTTTTCCCATTCTGAGCACGTGCGCAACGCAATTTAATGCTAAGTAAATCCAACTAAAGCATAGCACACCAAAGAGGTGGTGCGAAAAATATACATACATGAATATCTAGAAATCTGTGTACTTTTGAGAAAAAAAAACTTGACTACGGTGATTTTAGAGGACAAAATACTTAATAAGCTTTCTTGCAAAAATCGTACATATTTATTGAACGTAGAAAATATCTGACGTGATTCGATGCGCCCTGAAAGTATTTGTTTTTAATATCTATAGCTTCCTGGAAATTCAATTCGCTAACTAATAGCTCAGGCTTATACATCGTATTATATTATATTGCCCACACAAGGTTTTACAACCTTCCGTAAGTCGCCTAACTCTCATATATAATTTTTGGCCGTTTTTCCTGTCAGCCAACATCTCAGGCTCTTCGCATTCACATAGTTCGGCCTCTATCTTCTTATTGCGGCGACTACGTCTCGCTTCCCTCTTCAGTTCCCTATAACAGTCCCACATGGCTCGCGTTGCGCCCGATCGCAGCGTGGACCTGTAGCGGAATCTTTTTTTCTTCAGCTTCTTGACATTCCTCACCGTACTCGTTGTCGTTTCGGACTCGCTGAAGTCTGACTACACACTTCTACAGCGGTACTTAATGAGCTGAAAATGTGGTTCCACTGCTCGCGTGTGTCGGTTTGTTGAAGAGTGCCATTAGAGAGCAGGTGCGGGAGGGAGTCAAATGGCAAATAGATTGGGCGACGTTGTGATTGAAGCAATTTTATGTGTATTACCTTTCTTTGCACACATTTTTTTCTGCACAGAGGCGGATGCGTGTTTTTGGCCCTCGAACCACATACGCGGTTTTGTATTTTGTTGATACGCTGTTTTGAACTTTAGACGATGATATGTACATACAGCTGCATGTTTTGAAAGTGAAATCGGGGCGTATGAGTAACTTCCAATTCTATAATGCAGTAAGCCTAGTTAAAAAGGTTACTCATACGCACCGTAGGTCGGACATATGAGATGACCCTTGTTAACGCTTTCCATTTCTTTTCTCTTTGTGTGTTTATCTACATTTTTATTCGCAAAATCGCTCGGCCGTAGAACGTAAATTATTAAATAATCAACTCTATTCTGTGGCAGCTAAATCCGTAGTTGGCATATGCTTTGCTGGCTTTGCGTTTCAACACCGCCCATCAATGCCGCCCATCGCATTAACGATTTTGACATCTCGCAGTACTTTTATTTCTTCAGCCTTTAATTTAATTGGTCCCTTTACTTGTTTCAAATCTACAAGACATTTCATCATGTGTTATGTGTTTACTCAAATTCCAAAATTTTTTCTTATCTGACAGTGATGGATTGGCTTGTTGTTTGCTCATACGCCGTGTGAGCTTTTTTTAACGCTTCAATGCGGTAAATATGTAGTTGGTTGTTGTTGACTCTGAAGCAGAGTGTATTAACTGAGCTCGAGGCTAAAATAACGTGTCCTTTTAGTTACACGCATACAAACATGTTTATTAATAAATTGTTCGTGGTGGTTTAAAATTTTAATTAAATT